CTGAACCCTAAACCCCAAAGCCCAAGCCGCCTTTTTCAAAACAAACCAACGCAACTTGTTTTTACTTTTGGGGCTTTTCAGGGCTTCATAGGGGTTAAGGCGCCTTAATAGTTGAATAGCTATACCACTATCCCCATGAACCATAACCCTACTCACTCTTGTTATCGATGCCCTTCTAGTACATGGTTTTCTGAGAGCCAATTCCTAGGCCAGCGTCGTGCGCTTGCTTGATCTGGCTACAGGTGGCCGTGGCCCGGCAAAAGAGGGGTCTAGGGTTTAGGGCTGAAAGGGTTTAGGGTCTATAGGCTGTAGGTTTTAGGGTCGGTAGGGTTTAGGGTTTGGATTTAGATGATTTAGGGTTTAAGGTTTATAGGATTTCGGGAAGCCGACTTGATTGAAGTTGTATGGTTCTATACGGCTTGACAAGCCGGAGAAGCTCTTTACGCGGCTGAGGTGGCGTAGCACACAGTTGTACCTTGCTTTTGTTCATAAGAGTCTTAGGACCTGGCATAGATTACCATACATACGAGGGTTATATAGTAATTATTTCGTTTCGTTGTCATGGTAGCCTGGCTGAGTTATCTTAAGCAACCCAGTGCCAGGAATGTCGGGGCTTAGTATACCCTAAACCCTAAACCCTAAAGCCAAAAACCCAAAAGCCCTAATTGAATCAAATCAAGCCCATACCTGCACCCAAAACCCTATACTCTACACCCGAAGCCAGATCAAACATACAACCCTAAATTCCTCAGCACCCTAAGCCCTAAACCCTAAACCCTAAACCCTAAACCCTAAACCCTAAACCCTAAACCCTAAACCCTAAACCCTAGACTCTAGACAAGCATCTTCGGGCCCCAGGCCAGCATGCTTCTTGGGTCTTGCCGAGACCTCCGCAGGCGCATGGGGCCGGGTTTAGGGTTGAGAGTTTAGGGTTTTAGGGTTTAGGGTTAAGGGTTAAGGGTTTAGGGTTTAGGGTTTAGGGTTTAGGGTTTTTAGGGCCCTCTTGGGTCGAGCAGAAATCTACCGAAATCGGTTCAGAAGAGTTTTAGGTGCATGGGCGGAGAACTCGCTGGCATCATAGTTCCCAAAAAATCGGCCTTGGAAAAGCACTCCTACAAGAGGGTCGCGGACACGATTCCTTTAAGGGTTCCTGGAAGGGTTCTAGAGGGCTTTCGGGTTTGAGGCTTTAGCGTCTGGGGGGTTGGTAGGTTTAGAGTCTTTTGGGCGTCGGGCTCCGGATTACGGGTTTGTGGGGTTTAGCAGGAGTAGCAAAAAGGATTCCTGCAAACCTACTGGTGGTTAAGGGAGAGAGGAGCAGGGAATATAGGAGTATATAGGGACTATTTAGGGATCCGCTCTTCCACTCTTCCTCAAGCACCAGTAAGCAGAGTTTGCTAGGGGGGTTGAGGTCTTATTGGGGCCATCCAGTGCACACAAGCCGCTTTCGTCGCCCTCTTAATACACCACTTTTTCAAGCAGTTGTCGCTGGGCCTGGGGCTGCAATTCTCTGTTACTTGTTGTTTGAAAGGAAGTGTGACATGTGCCACTCCCCAAGCCCTAGAAGCCCCCGAGCTTCACACGGTTTAGGGTTTAGGGTTTAGGGTTTAGGGGCCGCGACACGATGCTTCGAAGCAGGGACCCTCAGGCCGTCCTTGGGCCGGAATGAGCTTCTTCGAGTAGTTTAAGCCCCCAAGCTTGAAGCCCAAAGCCCGAAGCCCTAAACCCTAAACCCTAAACCGAAAGGGCCAGTGCCAGCTTGACGAAAGAAGGCGCATTTCAACTTTAAAAAAGAAACCCTAAACCCTAGTCCCTAAACCCTATACCCCAAACTTTAACCCCAAAGCCCTACATGCACAAAGTGACGGTGGCCAGGATAGCACCATCGACGGCCTAGGCCTGGTTGGGTGGGGTGGGAGGTGGGGATAGGGCTTGGCTCTTTGGGTTTTTATGATGGGTGTAGTACGACTTTGTGGACGCTTTAAAGAGTTTCATGCGTCCTGTGGTTTTTGTTTTGAGCAGGGTTTTTATTGTGGTCCAAGGGGTACCCCTTTGGAAGTCGGTCTTCAACGGGTGCTTGTGTGTTTGGCTGTACCACGCTCGGGGGTGTAATTCGGGTTGGCGGGCATTTCATCGGTTTTTTATTTGGTGGAGATCGAAGGTTTGTTGGTTTTGGAGTCTGGCGCGTAGACTTATTCAGGGTTGAGGCTTTCATTTCTTCTGCAAAGAGTGGCTGCGGCTAGCATCATTCTCAAGTCCATAAACCCTATAGATTTAAGCGCTAAACAGCCCAGGTCACTTCGCTGGCATCTGTGCCGGCAAGGATGCGCTGTACGCCTTGCAGGCCACTTGCGTTTGAGGGCTTAGGGCGTATAGGGTTGGGGGGTTCGGGCTTGGGGTGTTGGGTTTGCGATCCCGGTGTTTCGGATGCAATTGAGTGTCGTCAGAGTCTCAATCCTGCATCGAAAACCTTAAAGGCATGTTGCCCTAAACCCTATACCCTAAACCCGGAACCCTTAACCAAAAACCCAATACCTTAAAGCCCTAATCCCATCACTTTTAAACCACCCTAACCCCTTTTCCCTGGGCCCTAGACCGTGATAAGGGTACATATCGGGTATAATAGTAGGTGTACAAGGATCCCAGGCTTAAGGGCCCATACTAGGGGCCCATGGTTTCAACCTTGCAGAGTTGAGGGTTCGAGCTTCATGGCTTAGCGGTTCTACGTTGGCTGGCTGGAAGGGCTCTAGGGCTTTGGGGTGTAGGGTTGAGGGTTTAGGGTTAAGGGTGTAG